CACTCTGGATTTCAGGGTTGACAGAAAACCCAGACAGAGCAGGTAAAGTAAAAAAAAAAAAAAAAAAAAAGGAATTGTAATGCTTGTTAAAAAAACCCCAAATGATTTATTCCTGGATGCGTCATTTGGACCGAGCGTCTCCTCAGAGTGAACGTTGGACGGTTGGCTGTGAGCTTTTGTCCCTATTGTCCTCTCAGACACTTAACCTGTTATTTTCTTTAGCTCAATTGTGTTCTGGCCACTAACAAAACACTGCAATCATACATCTCTTTGTGCAACACTTTCTAAATGTTTCTGAGTTACTTAATTCAGTAGTTTCGCTGCGTCTAAAAGAGGTTTTAAGCACATTAAATGGGTAGCGTGATGGTGTTTCACCAAAGCCAGAAGCAGCTGGAGACTGACGTAGTAGGTAATGTTTCACACAACATTTTGGAACATGTAATTATTTTAAATTTCCTCACCTCTGCCTTGTTAATCCTGGCTGCACTGGGAAAGGCTAAAACCCTGAAATTATGCTCTGATTCTGATGAATGACAATGAGACAGATTAATCGACTGCTGTGCAAACCCTTACTTATCTGATTTTTAGGACTGCACCTCCTTCTCTGTTCCTAAAAGGCAGAACGATCGCTCTAGCATTAAATGGGACGTAATTTGTGTTTGAATGGAAAGTTAGCAAAAGATAACGTTTCTTTTTTTTATATCTCTTATTTTAGTTTTACTCACTTCTCTGAATTGTAATGGTGCTCAGTTAGAAAATTTTATTTCTATCTTCAGATTTGCATAAAACTTGATCGAATTCTTTCTCTGATTTTGGAAAACAATATATGGGAATTAAAACAGCTGCTTTCTTTTTCTTTTTTTTACATTTTTGCTTTTTATAGTAATTTAAAAAGGGCCCATTTTAAAGTTGTATAATTCAATTTCCAGATGTTAACCAATAATACAGGTAAATATATATATATTTTTAAAACATTAACTTACTACTTATTTATTGCACAACAAACATAGTACAGTAAATTCAAAAGTTTGGAATATTACGAACATGGAAAGCAGAGATGAACATTTATGACTGGATAAAGAGGTGACTAGTTTTATTGTCCTATGATCGCTGATAAATTTGAAATCTGTCAGCAAAGCAATTTCAAAGCTGTTTTTGGAAAAACAATCCGGACTATCCTGCTGGAGACACTGTGCATTTTCTTTAAAACAATAATTGGGACTGATAATAGTCCTAAGTAATTGATTTAGACTAAGCATGTCCCCGTGTTTTAGTTTGAGCTTCAGTTCAGTCAGGAGGAATGTTCACACTTTGTTTGGATACTTTATATTTGATCTAAGAAGAGCATTTTTGGAGCAAAAGCATCATATGTTTGATATGAACCAATTGAAGAATCCATGAAGATGTATTTTTCGTTCTACTGTGAAGACTCTTGGTCATCGACACATACCTGACGTGGTTATTACACTGAAACTCATACTTGGTTAAAGTACAGCAAGTTTTGAGATATAAACATAAAAAAAAGTGATTTTGTTCTTGTTGGAAGGTGCCCATGGAGCAGTGGAACCAGCCTCTCTGCGATCCCATCCCTTTTTAGTCCTGGTTTCTCAAACCTCACACTGTGGGCTTTTATAGTTGCCTCTGTTGCTGGATGACTGACTTTTTTTCAGCTGTTACATTTTGATGAGGCTGTTGATTCAAAGTGAGATTAACCTCATAGTAGCTAGGCTATTACATAAGAGTGAGTCATTTCTTTCATTGTTGATATAAAAAATATATTGCTTCAAAGTGCTTTCATCTTTTGAATCAAAATATCGTGCAACAGTGCCGCAGGCAGTTAACTGGGCTTCACGGTTTCTATTTTGTATAAGCTGCGTTGTGGCTAGCGTCTTAGCGAGCTCAAATCAAATGGAATGGAATATACTGAAGATGTATTTTTTGTAAACAAAGCCTTAATAAAAACTTTTGCAGGCATAAGGGTTTTATCTGAAAATTGTAAACATTTGCTCCGTGTTATGTAAATCCTCTGCGTTGTTGTGATTGGCAAGCGGCTTTCAAATTGCCTCATAGCATTAATGTTTAATTTATAATGTGTTGTATCCCAGGATATGAGATACTGTGACATTGCTGGTGCAGAAATATTATTAAATCTATAGTCCTTGCTGACAAAGTTAATCCTGCTTGCTAATGCAGCCATTAGTTTTACATGCAGCTCAAGCGCGTTGTAAAACTCAACCCAATTCAGAGCTTTACAGTTCACTATATTGCAAATCATGTGTCGCACGATTTTGACATTTTATCTGCACACCAGTGGGCAGACACTGTGCCACCAGAAAGTGTTTCCTCCTCCTCAATTTTTATACATTTTGTTACAACATAGACTTGTACTCAAATTGATTTGAACATAATTCTTGTTTAAAAAGTCTACAGAGAATATCCCACAGTAAGAAATGGACGTTTGTTTTCAGACTTGTTTTTTTTTTTGTTTTTTTTTACATTTATAAGGTCATCCATCCATCCATCCATCCATCCATCCATCCATCCATCCATTCATTCATTCATTCATCAACATGCTTATCCCTTGTGGGGTGCAGGTGCCCATCTCCAGTGGTCAACAGGTGAGAGGTTGGGCACCTTAGATTATAATCTAAATGCTAAATAAAATAAGCACACAAGAATTCACACCCTTTTCTCCATTGCTAAAAATGTAACTCCTGCTATAAACTCCTTAGAGATTGTCAGACAAATTGAAACAAAATTCTCTTGTTCGGTGAATCCAAAATACAAATTCCCAAGTATCATGTCTTGGGGAGGAGGGGTTGCTACCACCATCTCTACTGTGAAGCACGGTGGTGGCAGCACATGTCCACACTAACCAAAACTAAGTCAGTGATTTATCTTTCAGCTTTAGTGTTCTGAAGCACACAGCCAATATAACAAAGGAGTGAGTTCAGGCACAGGCCTCCATAAAGTCAGGCACTCATAAAATGATGAAAATAAAACTACTGAAAGTAAAAACTGTAAATTATATAAAAAAAAAAAGAACCAATAAAACGATGCAATGATGTCACAGTTCAGCATAGATATGCAGCTCTTGAAAAAAATAAGAGGCCACTGCAATGAACCCCATTGAAAACCTCCTGGTTATTCCACCAGATATTGATTTCTGATCTCCTCCTGAGTTAAAACATTAGGATTGTTGCTTCTAAATGAATATGAACTTTTTTCTTGGCATTATTTGAGTTCTTGAAGCAGTGCATCTTTTTCATTATTTTGACTATTTCTCATTTTCTGCAAATAAATACTACATTTTTGCTTGGAATGTTGGAGACATGTTGACAGTAGTTCATAGAATAAAAAAACAATGTTTATTTTACTCAAAAATATAACATAAAATCAGATAAACTGATCATATAAAGTGGTCTCTTAATTTTTTTTCCAGAGCTGTACATGTTTGAAGACCAAGGATTGTATTGAAGAGTTTTGGATCCAGAGGTCCTGGATCAAAAGTTACTTTGCTTTACTCCTGCAGCGATTGTGCAGGAGTAAATCATGTGACCCATATTTGGAGGTCTCAGTCCGCAACAGGACAGAGTCCCGGCCCGTTGACCTTTGCTGCATCTCTTCCCCCTCTCTCACAACCTACGTTCCTGTCTGATAATGGTCAAATAAAGGCCACCAGAGCTGGAAAAAACCTGCAGAAAGGCAGATGCTACCCTTTGTCGTTGACCTCGTCCACATGAACGACAGGTCCAAGAGGAGATCCTCTCCTGGTGCAACCATGAGAGAACATCTTTTGCCTTCTTGTAGGCAAAGGATGACGTCACATGATTTCCTTCCTGAAACTCATCCTCTTCCTGCTGAAGTAGGTTAACGCAGTGAATTGTTGAATCAAAAAAGTTATGCCAGCCTCCTACATTCTGTCCTTCAGAGTCCAACAGAGTATATCTTTGAGAAAAAAACCCCAAAACAAAACATACTCTAATATATTTTAGGAGAACTCTATGTGACAAAAGGTTTAAAAAAATGAATAGGTGTAAATAGTTTCTGGTGGCAGTGTTTGATTAATTTTCATAATCTCCTTAGTAAGTGTTTCACTGAGTCGTAAATAACCTTACGAGATATGTGTGTATACATTCACTGTGCTGTTCTCTGGTTGAAGTGGTGAAAATCTGCATGTTTCAAAATAATCCTGGATCCCATTGTCTCTTTGAAGGAGTCGCACACAGACTGTTTAGCTGCAAGGTGTTTATACATAGCAAGACATAAAGCCATCCTGGTTTCCCCCCCCCCTTTTTTTTTTCTTTTTTTTTTTAGTGACTGGGAGTTCTCATATCCCTTTCATGAGCTCATGGCAAAGTTGTCCTATATCTGTAGGGAATGAGATCATGAATATTGTGTTAACCCAGAAAAGTTGAAATCCACGCGTGCCTTCTTGTTCCCCTGATCCCTCGGCTTTTGTTGTTGCGTTGGCCAATTGTAGCCTGGAAGAGATCAAGGGGACCCCTGTCGGTTGTGGATTATTCCTTTGTTGAAGTGCCACTGTAGGGGATAGAGGATTAAAAGAGCAGAGAGTGAATAGGGATTGTACAGGAAGTTATTCAGCTGCATGTAGCTTCAATGAACCATTAACATGAAGTTAAAAAAAAGTTATTGATTGATGTTTATTTAATTTTTAAAACAACTTAAAGGAACGTGCATCAACTTGGTTTTAATTTTCTACCTCAGTGTTAGGGGCTGTCACAAAGATATTCCTTTATGTGGGTAGTCTAGACTAGGATTACCAACACTCAATTGAGGTGTTTTCTTTGTAATCTCAGCACAATTAGCATAAAGCACCATTTGACTGTTCCTTCACCATGTTGCCTTCATCGCCCTGTAGACTGCTGCAGCAGCAATCGTAGTTTCAGAGCTGATTCTCTTAGATAAAGGTACCTAGTCTCCATTAGCCTAATTTGTGGATCGTCTGTATCATTTTGTGTCTCCTTTTCATTCTGCAGGAAGCCATGGGCCTCGAGGCTGGGCAGCTTCTTACCCAGAGTGTGCTGCAAAGGACCAGTCTCCTGTGGATATTATAGATGAACAAGCTCTGGTGCTGGACGAGTACCAGATGCTGGAGCTCGACAAGTTCAACATAGAGTCATCCAACCAGACCACCATGAAAAACACTGGAAAGACAGGTGGGCATCTCTACTGATCAATAGTGATTATGAGCAAATAAGCATAAATTATTTTTAAATTGAATCAATTTTATCAAGAAACTGTTGAAGAGAAATTATTCTGGAAAGCCTTGTTCATTTAGGGGTCCAGACCCAGGACAGCCTGCATAATGCCAACAGTGAAATCATTAAAGCACAGACTGCACTTAAAGTGCTCTTAACTTCTACATTTACATCTAATAGAAAATTCATGAAGTTAAAATGTTCAAGTTATACCTGGCAGTTTTAAGTTTTAAATTATTTAAGTTTAACCAGTAAGTTTTTTTTTTCTTCTTTTCCTCTAATTTGAAATGAAGATGGTATCTCTGAAAAGATATAAAACAATGTATTTAATTTTTATGACCCTTGTTAAATTATTGGTCTTTAAAAAATGTTGACAAGTATGTGACTTTGACGTTTATTTCTTCGCCGCTTCCTTTGCACAAACTAACCTTTAATTTTGCCCATCCATCTTCAAAGGCTGCCATAAATTGACAAATAGATTTTATTCTTTATTTAAAATAAAAAAAACATCTTTCACAAAATAACTCCTCAAAAACTATAAAAATGAAGGATTATAATGATTAATGTATTTTTATTCCTGTTCATTCAAATATTCAGAAGTAGTCATACGGTTTAATGATTAACAGTAACTGCATAAAAAATGTGAATTTGATGGTATGAATTAACAACATGTTAACATACCTTGAAAGTGCAAAATAACACTTGGCAGACAGTTTATGTTGAGGTGAAATGTGGGTTAAAATCTCATGCCTGTGAATCTTTCCATCACTGCAACCTTGCTAACTTTAGAATCCCTTTAGCTGATTGGCTTTATGATATCCCATGAGTCCTGCCTACAAATCTGCTCCTCACAGTTTTTCAGCAGAAGAATAAACAGGAAGTACAGTCATGATACAAAATCACAAATGTAACACTTGCATTCTTTTTTTATTTTATTTTTTTTTCACTACTCATGTAAGCTTTATTGACAGTTTTGAAAATGATACTGTTGGTACTTTTGGACAACCACATGTGCCTCAGTACCGCTGTGACCTTAAAGCTTTTTGGTCGTTCCTGCTAATGCATTTGCGAATTAGACCTCATCTTACTTTCTCCCATATCTGCTCGACTGCAGCATATTTGACTATTTTGAAAATAGATGTTATTATTTCAGACCTAGTCAAATTCCTGCCACAGCACGTTACAGAAAAGCACAATTATGCTCATTTAGTGAGACACAGACACATTCAGCTGCCGTATGATTTGTGCAACTGAAAGAGGCTTATGAGTTGTTTTTATCCCCTTATTATTGCATTCATTGTCCTCGCCCTTTGCTTGTTTCCTCTCTTTGTATGCAGCTTGCAAACCTTGTTTACGGACACATTTGGAATCTCACTCAATTAGCTGCTATTTCAAATCACTGCCCCATTTCCTTTTCTTTAATTCAACAAATCCGTGGACCACTGGTTTGAAAACTCTGACCCTAATTGATCTGTCTGCTTTTGGCACCGTTTCTCTTAGAGCAGTGTCATCTCTTGCGTTTGATCATAATGAGAGTTGTTAGCCTCCATGACAACCAAGGCCACTGACACAGCCCGGCAATGCGGCAGGCTGATTATTTACAAAGTCGGAAGTAACATGACTTGGGAACATGCACTACAAGAGGGAGATTTAAATGGCTCCAAGTACCGTGAAAGTCAGGAAAGTGGTGTCGCATTACCACAAAATGGTGCAGAGCAATAGCTTTCTGAAAAGGTCAACTTAGCATGCAACAAATTCACATCACCGTATTTTGAAATGTATTCACTTTTAGTTCAACTGAAAAGAAGAGTGTATTTTTATTTGTTTTTTTTTATCTTTTGTTTGCCGTTTCGCTGTAAGGAAGGCAAATAGTTTTTCCACAGCACTTTTCATGTCGCAACTATCTATCTGCATGAGAATTGTGGGACGTGATGTGTGCTACTCATTATGCAGCAGTGCACTTCTACACACACGTGACCCATTACTGTATGAAGGTCAGTCTACAAAAATAAGAGTTAATCAACCTGCCAACCCATCCCATTGCTCCAGTTGCAGGACACCTTAACCATAACTGTGACATTTCTAATTCTCTTATTCCATTTTACTTGCGAAGCCAGACTTCATGACCTGAAATTATGTATAGCCTAACTGAATCAGCTGAATGCTGTGCGGTCTCTGCAGGTTAATTTCCTGTCACATTACTGCTCCACTCTCTGGTATCGCCAAACATCTATAGCAGATCGTATCTGTGGTCTCGACTCCCCTGAAATAATTTGTTTATATAGGTGGCCTGCTTCTGGGGTGTACTTTCTACAGCACAGTGGCTATTTTTTAAAAGTCGTTGTCACCTAAAATGAAGATGATCATGCGCTACATTTTGTCACATGTAGGATTCTGGGTTGAAGTAAGATTTTTCCCCTTTTCATACGGTCGGAAAAGCGGGTTTGATGTTATTTATTTTTGAAACGGTGGCAAAAAAGAACGTCTAATGGACATTAATTATATTTACCTAACCAAAATGAATTTAAATAGTTAGTAATTAAACACTGTCTGCAAAGTGAATAAACTCCTTACGACCATATTTCATTAATATTCAGTGTGGTGTTCTTTCATTTTGTGTTTTCTTAAAAGAGGCTACCAGTTTTGACCATAAAATCGTAAACTTGTTTTTTAGCTGTAAGCAGATTGAATATTGATCTTTCCATCTGATGGATTCAAACAGCACATTCCACAAAGTGCCAGAATCTGGTGACTTATTTTTTTTACAGGCAGTGATTAAGATTCTGTGCAAATATTTTGTGTGGTTCTGTAAAATTTCTGTTACCCAGAGTAAAGGTGATGAATTATAGAGGTATATAAAAAAAAAGTTTAAATACTTTCAGTATTTTTATGCATTTAAATTCAATATGATCTTATATCTGTACAAGCCCAAAAAATATGCCAAGTGTTGCACTTGGAATTTCCACTCTGCCTCCGGCGCATACAATTTCCACCGCTAAGAATTTTTTTTTTTCTTTTGTGTAAAAATTCTCTCCATGAATATGAGTTTGTACATTTTCACAGCAACATACAGCAACTGCACCATGCTCCTGCAGTTATTGGCAAGTTTAAGTGTTTTCACATTCTTTTGCTTTATTCTTTGCAGTGGGTTATGCTAAAAAAGCTAAAAACTTTTTTTTTTTTTGCATCTGAAAATGCAATGTGCACCATATCACAGTATAATCAATTTTTTTTCTGATAAGCTCCAATAAAAATAGCAGTTGTCTAAATTATTTGAAAAAAAAATGTAGACAATTTTTATTTTTTTTATTTTTTTTTTAGTAACTTCTTAGACCCATTTAAGCAAGCGACAAATTTAGTAATTTCTTTTGTGTTAATGGAGACTTTGGCGACAACATCCAATCGTACTGCAGTTACAGCAAGCATTTAGTGCTGCCTTGAGCCTCTCCCACTTCTGAAGAACTTGCAGGTGGTTAAATTGGATTTTTGTGGGTCCAGGCAAATTATTTACATCACTACATTGACATTATTGAATGATTTCATAAAGTGTATTTGTAGTTCTAAATATGTAGAGTATTTCAATAATGTTTACTTTGCCAAAGGAGATAGATGCTCCTTTCTTTTACTTCCTGAATCACACATGACCAAATATGAAAGTTAGTCAGTGACTTTATCTAGCAACTTTGAGCAACTTGCGACATCAAATGGCTACTTTTCTTACTGAGAAGTTGGCAAGAATGATTCATACATTTATTGCAGCTATAAAGGAGCTGCAGTAAATGGGAAATGGAATCATTCCCATCATGAACAATCATTTATTATCTTAAAAAAAGAAATCGCACTTTGTATGAGAGAGCAGTTACTGTTTCATTGCTCTGCAGTTTAAAACCATTTGACTCTTTTAAAATGAACAACATAAAAATTTTAAAAGAAAATTATGTAGCATCATATGTTAGTGTTTATTACGATTAACTTAGTTACTGTTACTAAATACTACTATCTGTTTATTCCGTGTGAAGATGCACAATGTTTCATATCACAATATTAATGTGTGCAATATTATAACTGCAAATTCTTTATGCAGTGTTTAGCTGGATATACAAAAAAAAAAAAAGAAAGAAAGAAATCTAATTTTTAGTTTTTATAACTAGCTGACCACTAGCCAGAGCTGGTCATGTGTAAAATTGTGTTATTCTGATCATCAGCTGAGTTCTCAGAGCATCTCTTGTTTTTAAGGATGATGTGAAACATTAGTGTGTCTAAGCACTCTGGCCATCAGTTTGTGGTTGAGGTAGTGCTGTAAGCTCAGCACTAATGGGCTCCCATTTATCTTACACCACTGATGTCTTATGCAGCTGTACTTAGCCTGCTGCATTTTCCTGCCTCATGCTGTTTTTTTTTTTTTTTTTCCTATAAATATCATCAATATGATGTCATGGCATTGTGAGTTCATATTCCTGGGTTTCTTGACTATCTATTTTAAAAGGATATACATAAAAAAAAAGTAGGATGACGTAATTAATATGTTTCTATCTGCTCTGTATTCCTGATTGTATTTTAAAATCTTAGCTTTCTATCTGTACTTACACATCTTCCGCATCCCTGTACATCCTGGGGAATTGATTCTTCCTCCTCAGTAGCGGTGCCTGAGGTTGAAGCTGATGTATAACTTGACCTGACTTGTTTTTGATGTCCTAAAGGAAATGTCTTGCTCTCAGGAGCCGCCATGTTCACCAGCCCGCCACCAACTGTGTCTCTTTCCCATTTGGGGACAATCCTGCAGAGTGCTGTTGCATGTTACAGCTTTTTCTCAGAAAACTGTTGCCTGCTGAGGCTAAGAACCGAACGATGAAAGACTGATAAAAAAAAATAAAAAAAAAGTTTTGAGTCAGGAAACCCAGCAACAAGACAATGTTGTGCACAATCCCAGTTAAAGCCGACAGAGAAAGATAAAGATG